GCTCCCGCAACTTGCTCAGCCAGTGAGCGGCCGGTCTGTATGTGGGATCCGAACCCTCGGCGGGAGCGCGCTGCGCCACCGGGCCGGCCCAGAATTAGAACTTTTAAAGTATTAAGGGCTAGCCCATGGCTCACTTGGGAGAATGTGGTGTTGATAACACCAAGGCCAAGGGTTTGGATCCCTATATAGGGATGGCTGTTAGCTCACTTGGGAGAACGTGGTGCTGACAACACCAAGTCAGGGGTTGGTATCCCCTTACAGGTCATCTTTAAAAAAAAAAAAAAAAAAAAAAAAGTATTAATGTCCTACCCATGATATATGAAAAAATTATTACATTGTTAGTTTTAAGTGTCTACATTTTTTTCCATAGGACCTAACATGTATTATTTCAAAATATTTCTTAAAAAGGTACTCACTCAAACTAGAAATGTAATATATTCTCCTTCACATTTTATGATTACTTTTTTGGAGGAATGTACCATTTAAGTAGATCAGAGATAATCAGATTTATAGTTCATATTCTTAAAGATTTCCACAAGAAAATATTCATCTCTGATTTGATCAATTATAAAAGCAGTCAACGTATCAACCCATCTCAGTACTGAGCTAAATTCTGACAAGTGATATTAAGAAACCAAAATTTAAATAATCATCTATATTCAAGGTGCTTTCTGGGGCTAATTCACAACACAGGAGGTTATTAAGCAGAGACCAACATCTAAATTTAAAAATTTTGTTCAAAAACGTTTTAATGTATGTTTAGATTTTGGCTGGTATGGCTGTGCAATAGAACTGGTTACCTCTTCCAGGGGAATCCCTAACTCAGCTTTCAAGCGCCTCTGCGCTGCTCGCCTGACTCCAATGGCTTCATTCTCTTCACGCTCGCCTGGACTGTTTAATGGATGGCTACAACAAGTGTTGGTGAAACAACCTGGAGAAGTTAGCATAGATACAGATTAACTCCCCTTCAAAGTGATCTATAAGATCAAGAAAAACTTTTATAAGTAACAAAAATAAAATGATTTGTTAGGATTTTTAAATCAGTTATAATGGGCTACCAGTTATTATTCTGTGAAACAGACATCATTTGTAGACAAGTTCTTTTATCTCCTTAGCCAAAAAGATCAGAATGTGTAGATACAGATTTAAAAAAAAACAACATATACACATACACACACACCCATTCTGTAACTTCTTATCCTTTATTGCTGTCTTATTGTGTTATAATCATCATGAGCTTATTGTATATAGAATATGAAATTATGTCATTCACAGGATTCTCCTTTTTGATCTTGGCTCCATGAAGTTCAGAGTGATAAAAAGTCAAATTCATGAGCTTATTGTATATAGAATATGAAATTATGTCATTCACAGGATTCTCCTTTTTGATCCTGGCTCCATGAAGTTCAGAGTGATAAAAAGTCAAATATATTTCTTTTTTTTTTCCTTTTTGTCTTTTTTCGTGACCGGCAACGGGATCGCAACCCTCGGTGTCACGCCCGCACCCTGCTCAACCAGTGAGCGGACCGGTCTCTTTATGGGATCCGAACCCTCAGCGGGAGCGCTGCCGCGCTCCCAAGTGCCGCACTCTACCGAGTGCACCACCGGGCCGGCCCAAATATATTTCTAAACGAAATCTACCTTGTCCCTTAAGTATACTAACCTGGAAAAGTAATTTTAGCATCTGATCTCTGCTGTAGCAGGAGCTTATTTTCAGTGTTGAATAAGAAGACACTAAAAGCTCGATGCAATAATCCTGAAAGCAAAAGAAATGTTATGAATTTCTACAGTGGATTTGTACAGTGGACAAGTCATAAAAAGCAGCTATTTGCCCGACTTCCTCCTTGCAGTCCAGAAGGATATTAGTAGTCTGCTGCTATTTTTGCTTTGAGTGAGAAGAGCTCTCGCATACCAGCAGGGCAGTTGGCCACCAAGTGAAGGAAATGGTGAGCTTGTTGGCTGCTTTGTACTGGCCCAATTCCCTTTGAGGGACAGTTAGCCATGGCCCAGTCTGTCCTGACTCCTGGGAAAGTTGTGAAGGCACATGCTTATCTCTATGATACCTGCCTCTCCACGCATTGGAAAGAAGGATTAGAGGCTCAACAACTGCTGTTATGTTAGGGTTAGACTATTCTTTCCTCTTTTATGAAACCAGAATAACTCTGAAGAAGTTGAGTAAAAGACTTGAAGTGGAGAGAAAGAGTTGTGAAACAGGGAAGGTGGCAAGGTACAGCATCTAACCTACTGGAACCAAAGACACAGTGTGATCTGACAGAGAGTGCATCTCCTTTACCAGAGAATGTTCCTCAGCTAACCTGAAATGCCCAGGCAAATTCTTCATAACAAAGTATATTTTAAAACAGTACCTTTCTCAATGTTTTCATTCAGGTGACAATTCTTCTTGGTCTCGGCTCCAATTTTATTGTCATTTTCATCAATGAGAATACACATCTCTGCTAGGAGTTGAACCTGTTTCTCATCAAGATGGTCGGTATTTATTTCAGGCATCCTTACAAAATGTCTGATCTGTCTTGGTAATACTGAAGAGGAAAGAGGAAGAAAGGCTACCACATCACGTTTTCCTGAATGTCACAGGTACAGTGGACAAGCAGCAGCCACGTCAAAGGTGACGGACTATGCTGCTGCTGCCACCTGCCCGAGAATACTGCTGGCTCGCTGCCAGCCATTCACCACTCCTGCGGACAGTCACAGGGTCTTTCACCACCGCCTCTCCCTGAACTGTCACACTCAGTGTTCTAAACTCTTGACCCGCGGCCCTCTGCAGCACTTGACAGTCGCTCTTTGCTCTATGAGCTTTTCCTCCTCAGGATTCCGTGATCTGGCCCCAACCTAACTTTCACCCTGGTCTTCTGTGACAGCTTCGATGTTCTTTATCACATGTTTCCACAGCCATCTCAAATACTTTGCTATTCCCTGCCTCTGCATAGCTGCCCAAGAATGCCACATGCCGATCTTTGCTGAGATCAATTTTTCAAGGTCCAGTTAATGTGCCAACCATTCAATGACACTTTCATCAATGTCCCAAGAACATTTAATCCAGTTTTCCTCAACCTGGGCTCCTAATCAGAAGAACAAGCTGTGGGACTGCTTTGTCAACTCTCCCCATGGCCGGCAGTACACAGCTAATACTATTCTAGATAAATGGAAAACTTAAGTCACTATACTCACTGGATGTCTGAAGGCAGTGCTCAGCAATTTTTTCCTATAAAGGGCCAGACAGCATCAACTCTACCTCGTGTAGCACTAAAGCAGCCATAGGCAATGCCAGACTTGGGCAATGTGCAAACTGAGTGCTGCCACAGTCCAATCTTTATTTACGGACACTGAAATCTGAATTTAATTCCCACATATCACAAAATATTTTCTTTTTTTCCCTCCAGCAATTTAAAAATGAAAACAAAAAACAAAAACAAAAACAAACATTCTGAGCTCACAGGACATAAAACACGCAGATCTGGCCCATCCCTGCCTTAGTGGACGGAAGCTTAACTTTCTGAACCCTAATTAATCTCTGCCTTGCAGTTTTAAGCAGACATTAAAACACTCTGTAGATCTTGAGTCTCACTTTCTGTCCATCTAGAACCAGCAGATTCCAGCTCTCCAACCTGGGTACTCTGCAGAGCGCCTCGCACACAGCAGGTCCTTGTTCTCAACATTGTGCCCTGCCTGTCCGTGCAGAGCTCAAGCCCAGGCGGAGCGTGCGCAGTGTCAGCTACAGGGGACACGCGACAAGAATTCTAACGAAAGCGGGTTGGGGCTGTGTGTACGGGGGGACTCGGGGCGGTAAGAGTCACAGACGAGGGTGACAGCCGAAACAACGCTATTCAGTACCCCAAACCGGAGAACTTAATGACCAATGCAGAGGGCAGGAGGACAAGCACTGCTCAAGGAGAACCCGCCCGCCAGACCCCGCACCTCCGTGTCCCTCCATCCCCCTCCCCCATCCATCCGTCCGCACCTCAGTCCCCGACCTTCCCCAGTGCCCCCGTCTGTCCCTCCATCCCTCGCACCCCCGTCCACGTCTCCCCATCCCCCGTCCTTCCCCAGTCCCCCCATCCTTCCGTCTCTCGTCCCCGTCTTCCCGTCCGTCCGCGCACCTCGGTCCCGTGCGTACGTTCGTCTCTCCGTCCGTCCCCGTCCCTTGTCGCCTCATCAGTCCGAACCTGGTCCCGAGCTTACCTTCCCGGGCCCCGCCCCCGCGTCCCATCGCCTGCGCTAGCGCGCACCCGCGCCACATCGCCCGGCCAATCGCCGTCGGCGCGTGCTGACGTCACGCGGTGGCGCCACCGCCCCAGACCACGGTGCCGCGGCCAGTCCGGGC